AAATTTGGAGAGAATCCATGTAAGGAAAGATAGTTTGAATTTTCAGGTCTAGGCTCAAAACTAGAAATAAAAAACAATATGCCTTAGTTAACATAGAGTTGAGAGATGAGAAGAGTATAAATGATGGACCTCCAGGGCACAGTAGTCATGGATGCCAATAAGAGCATCATTGACATGATGGGCCATGAACAGAAGAGGCCTGACCAGACCACCAGAACACTTTCAATGTCAAGGTAGAAGAGGAATTTCAACAAGGAATTCCTRAACTTGTGGCCCAAGAAGGAATTTCAGTTTGAGGTCTTATAGTTGGAACAATTCCCAGTGACAATAATGGCTAAATTTGTGTAAATAGAAGTCATCTCGTTGAAGAAGTCATCCAGACCAGAGTTCTTCTATTAAGAGTCTCACTTGGGCTGGGATGTAGCTCAATGGCAAAGCGTCTACCTTGCATTTGTAAAGTCCTGGGTTCAACCCCCAGTTCCAAAAACGAACCCACCAAAAAAAAAAAAAAGTCTCACTTGTTTGGATGATCATTTAATGCAGATTGTACATGTTACCAGTGTGACAGCCCTTATCAACATTACAAATCTAGTAGTTGGTGATAATAGATGGTAAATTTGGGTAGAGTTTATTGGGTCAGTTTAGGAAGTTAGCTTAACATGTAAGGCAAAACTATTTGGCTGCCATTTGGTAATATTTAAGTGTCCTCAAGGAGCTAAATAATGGGGCATCTTATAGGATAGAAAAGCAAATATACAATTGATTATAATCTAGGGATAATAGAAATAAGCACATGAAGGTGGAAGTAATCAACTAGAGAGAAGCAAGGACACTTGATCTGAATGATGTGTACTCACAAGCTGCAAAGGATAATAAGGACATTCAAGAAAGAGGAAAGAGCAATTGCATAGATGCAGAGATGTTTCTTTTTATTTCAAGAATTCAAGTGAAAAATTTAGTTTGCTGAAGGAACTACAAATAATTTTTCATGGCTGAAACATATGGTGTGTGGGGTGAAGTGGTGAGGGATGAAGTTGGACATGTAGGCAGAGGACAAATGATGCACAGCCTTTGGACCAGTGGTATCTATAGACAGGTGTGACCATGCAAAACAACATATATAGGGAAGAAAACTAGAATCTAGGGGTATTGTGGGGATTTGGGGGGGGTGGGGGTTATTTTTGGTTTTTGTGGTCCTGGGAATTGAACCCAGGGTCTCACACAAACTAGACAAGTCTTCTACCACTGAGCTACATCCCCAGCTCTTTTTATTTTGACACAGGATCTCACTAAGTTGTTCAGGCTGGCCTCGAGCTTGAGTGTTCCTTGCTTCAACCTCCTGAGTTGCTGGAAGTAGTGATGAACCACCACCTCTGGTTCAACTAATCTCTTTTATTTTAGACTTGATTTTTCTTTAATTTATCTTCTATCTGATCCTAGAAAACTCATCCTATCTGCCAATCTGATATTGTTACCCTGAAACCCTTTGGGTTTTCCCACTTCTTGTTCACAGTTGTAACCATTACTAAGTTCCTTTGATCATGTACCCCAATGATGAGCAAATTTTTTAACATGTACCCCTAGATATGCATATTCACATATCATAAATAAATTCCTATATTAATTGATTACATAGATTGTATATATTATTAATATTATACACAAAATTGACAAAGGATGATGTAAAAAAAAAAAAACTCCTTCCTGGTTGCCACACCCTTCTCTCCACCACACTCTGCCATGATGTTCTGCCTCACCTCAAACAAGAGCAATGGAGCTAGCCAATCATGAACCAAACCTTTGAAACCCATGATCCCTGCCCTGTGTACACCTCCTTGTCAAGTTGCCTGCCGGTTACCACTGGGGAGCCTTAGATAGGCTCTCTTCTTCCTGATACTTGCCACGGACCTACCTCTCACTCTGAGGCTAAATACCCTTAACTGCCCATGCCCCACCTGACAGCAAGGGCTTCAGATCACCTTCCCCCTAATATTTCCTTCTCTCAGCCAGAAGCAGCCAGAATGAGTCAACGCCCAGTTACCCTAAAAAAAATTTAAGGACCCAAGTCCTTCAGGGGAGGAATGGTAGGTAGTTAGCCCTGGGCAGGTGGGGGTGGCGGGAAGGACAATGAAGGGTGGTAACTTACAGGGACATCACATGTACATCAAATAGAGTCCATAGATCACAGGACAGGACCCTTATCAAAAGAGACATCTAAAAAATGGGAACTCATATGCCAAAACTCTCCCAGTCACAGTTCATTATAACCTCTGAAGGGAACTATCTTTTCAAGATTGTCTCACATACCCCATGTGACCAGGTCCTCATGACCCTCACAAAATATACTGAGAACCATACAAAGGGTAATTAAGGGAATGGGGAGGTGGAAAACTAAGGCAAGACCCAAGGAACCCAAAACTCTTAAAACCCTGGAGTCTGAAGAGCCACACTCGTTTCCTTGGTGTGGGTCCCTGCAGTGCTATACTGTACCTTATCCTCACTTTTCTAATAAACTCCTGGTTGTTGCTAAATTAATTAATTAATTAAATGTACAAAAGGTAAAAACCAGGGCTAGGACTGCAGGCTATTGGTACATTGCTTGCTTGGCATACACGAGGTTCTAGGTTGGACTCTACCACCACGCCAAGGGAAAACTAGAAAACAAACTAGGGAGAAGTTTATAATGGATACTCAGGGATGACTGAATTGGATCAAATATTATATAGTTGCACAAATGATGCTTTAAAAGCATTTTAAGTAATTAGGCATTTATTAATACTGAACATAAAATGCAATCTAGTTAAAATTTCATAGTGTTTCCGGATCTCAGGATTATGGCTTCCCAAGTAGAATATGATTCTGTGAAACGTCAAAAGGAAATCCATAATAATTTCAAGTGAGTCTATACAGTATATACTATGTTCTATGCTTATGTTTTGATTTCTGTGCTATTCAAAAAAAAAAAAAAAAAAAGGAGAAGGATTACCTTTAAAACAAGAAAGAAATAGAAGTTCTAGCCAGACATGGTTGTGTATACCTGTTATCTCAGAAATCCCAGATGCTCAGAAACTGAGTCAGAAGCATCACTTAAACCTACCCATGACCATCCTGGGTGACAAGCAAGAACCAGTCTCATTCATAAATAAATAAGTAGATAGAGAGGTAGATAAAGATTAGTTGAAAGCTATTTAAAAGATTTTAATGAAGGCCATGGTAGAATGGGAAGAAAGATGCCGATTTGGTAGATTGTTTCTTTTTATTGATGAACTAATATTTCATCAAATGACTATACCWCATTTTGTTTATCCCTGCACCAGTTGATGGACATTTGGATTATTYCCAGAGTTAGGCTTTTGTGACTAATGCTGCTATACATATTTCTGTGCAAGATTTGTGTAGATTTGTATTTTCATTTCTTCTGAGTGTATGGATGAGAATTTCTGGACTGTATGATTATTTAGCTTAAGAAATGGTGAAGCTCTTTTCCAGAGTGTACCATTTTGTATTCCCATCAGCGCACAATGTGAATGAGGGTTGTAGTTTCTTCTTAATCCTAACAGCTCTACTTATTGTCAGTCAATTATCCATTCTTAATTTTTGTGTTTGTGTGAGGTGAGACTCTAAGTTCATTTGTTTACGTATTGACACACAGCTGTTTTAGAACCATTTTTTAAAAGATTAAAAAAAAAGAGTCTCACTTGTTTGGATGATCATTTAATGCAGATTGTACATGTTTGGTAGACTACCTTTTGCCTCATTGAATTGTTTGGCACCTTTATAGAAAAACCAATGAACATAAATATAAGAGTTTGTTTCTGGGTTCTCCATTTTGCTCCTTACTGCCAATACCACACTACCTTCATTTCTGTAGCATTATAATAAGTTTTGGAAATTAGGAAGTCAAAGTCCTCCAACTCTGTTATTTTTCAAACACATTTTGATTATTTTAGGTCCTTTGCATTTCCTTGTAAATTTGGGATCACATTGACAAGTTGTTTTAAATTAAAAAAAAAATTAGGGCTAGGGATATAGCTCAGTTGGTAGAGTGCTTGCCTCACATGCACAGGGCCCTGGGTTAAACCCCCAGCCATAAATCATCATCATCATCATCATCATCATCATCATCATCATCATCTATTCTAATTAGTTGCACATGACAGTAGAATGCATTTTGACACATCATACATAAATGGAGTATAACTTCTCATTCTTCTGGTTGCATATGCTGAATGGAGGAATTTGTCGGAGGGGGTGGGGCTAGAGTGGGGGGGGTGGGGTGCTCCAGTGTATTTTGTATGAAAAGGGAGAAGAGACTGTAGAGGGAGAGGTGAAAGATAAAGTGAGAGGTGCTGATTGATGGAGTTGTGATTCAGAAGGAACCAGAGGGGGTGGGATTTATAGCATATTGTTTTTAAAATAAGAAAAGACTTGATAAGTGTTTAACTATTGGAATTGTAATGATTTAAGATACTTATTAAAAATACATAGCTCATTCCAAGCCACTGGTTAGTGTTGCTGAATTTGAACCTTTAGGCCAAAGCTACACTAAATATGAGGTGGGGGAAACTTGGAGATGCTTTTGTATCATAAAATGAACCATATTCTTAATTTTTATGTTATTACTTTCAGAGAGCAAGATTTCTTCTGTCTTGTGGTGGGTTACTAACACATCTTTGTGCCTAGATGACAGATTTGGGAGGATTTAGTGTATTCTCAGCATCCTCCCCCTGCAATTTTGAGCAGCATTTGGTATGGTCCTAGATCGGTGCATATATCTTTGTACACCAGAACCCCTGAGAGCTTGCATTTTGCTTTTATAGAGACAGTAGATTCTGATGTATGTCTGCTTAAGCAATCAGCAAAAAACTACAATTTCTTTGGAAAAACCTGCTTCTGCTCCAGCCTCACTTCCTTTGTTCTACATCCCTGAAGATGCAGATGAGGGAAGCTGCCTGGTAACTGGAGGTTTCACCTGACCAGCATTGCTTCTGTTTACTTGCTCAGTTCTCACATCCATGTCATCTCCGGGACTCACCGAAAATAGTCAGAGGAATCCCTGTAGGTGGAACTTTATTTCATATTTTTCCTTAGCTGCTTTTCTTTAAAGGTGTTACCTCCATACTTGGGTACATTGCTGTAATTTGCATGGCATACAGATGATATATTATTAAAAAGAAGAAATTAAATTTCAACCTGATTTGAACGTAAAAGAAGTATATTTTAATGAGAAAATCATTAGTTTCTATATATTACTAGTAAGTAATAGTTACTAAATTAATATCTCAAACAAGTAAAAAAATGTTGCATGGAATTTGGAACTTTTGCATTTATAACATGTATCTTCTCATCCATCAGGTGAAATTAACCAAACAAGCATTTTTATGAAGCAGCATTATATTAAAAGTTAAATATAAAATGCCAGGAAAATAATGCACAGCTATTAGAATAATGAGTCCATTTCTTCTGGTGCAGTTCCATAAAACTAATTCAGCATCCCCTGCTGCTGGTATGTTAATTTTTCAAGAAGTTAATATAGTTAAATATGTGAGCTATATCCAGTGACAGAAAAGTTAACCTTCATTCCATGCTACTCTATGGGTCCATCTAAAATGGCTGATTATCAAAGTGGGTTTTTAAAATGTCATAATGCTTCATATGGGTTAAAAAGTATATATTTTTTCATAATTTTAAAAAACCTAAGTGTATTCTTTATCACCTCTAGTCAGAGGACATGGTTTTAATGATATATGTATTTGGCATTTTCATATTTACATATGCAAGGATATTAAAGTTAAGGAATTTGCTGTAATTATACTTTAAACAATAATTATAAATTTTTGTTGTTGTTGAGCAATATATTATTCTATCCATTGAGTAACTGAGGAAGAATTTATAATAGCTACTACTTATTAGAAATATTAGAAATAATAGTTCTTAGGCCTTTAAGGGGGCATATGTTATGACCTATTGTATGTACTTTACCCTGACAGGTAGAAGCCTGCTTGTTGTTAAGTGGAGAAAATGAAAGAAGTACATGTTGTTACTAAGTTTTTAGTCCATCATGGTTACTCTGTTTTTGAGATTACAAATTAGGACAAGGTACATCAAAGTCGAAGATAGATTTAAGAGACTCTAAGTTTCTTCTTTTTTTTTTTCCCCCCTCTATCATGTCCATTCTTTGTATAGCCTTAGTTCTTCAAGCTATTTAAGCCTAGACTCTTTTTTTTTTTTTTTTTTTTTTTGGTGTTAAGAATCAAACCCAGGGTCTCCCACATGCAAGGCATGTGCTCCACCACTGGCCTCCATCCCAGCTCTGTGCTTAAGACATGTTAACTAGAATAAAATGATAGGTCAGGAATTCATTATGAAATTGGAGTCTTAATGGAATGCAGTTGCAGCAGGAGTTATGCCACATTCTTGTTCATTATTTAATGTTAATCAGGAAAAAAAACTAATGGGAATGGAGGTAGTGAAAACCTTAGACTTTTTTAAGTACTGTTAGGGGATGTATAGCAAATCATAGGTTTTCTCTCAGTCATATTAACATGGTGGTTCTAAGAGTAAAAATTTCATTATAGGTATAATTTGGTGTTAAATTTTAATATTTTAAATTATTCATCTAAGAAATTACTCCCTGAAAGTCATGATTTGTTGCTAAATATGGCAAGATTTTTAAATGTCTGCTCCTTCTCTTTTTGTCACATGTTGTTATATACACCTATTTGTCTTTAAAAAGCTGGTTTGTATTTATGTAACAATGTTTAAAGAAAGTATCTGTGCTGGTTTATATTTATGTAAAAGTGTTTAAAGAAAGTATCTATGTTGTGTGGTACAGAAATATCTATATCCTGTTGTAATTTTGGTTTTGAGACAGTTTATTTTTTAGACCTAGTTGATTTATTTTAATACCCTATCATAAGATGTCATACTGTGGCATGGCCTGAAACTCTCCAAGATGATGTTTTGTATAGAAGAATTGGCACTCTGACAGCTTGCTTAGACTAACTACATAAAAATAGAGTCTGAGATTCTGGTGGTGATGCTTAAGTGTTACTTTCCTGTGGTTTCTTAGAAAGATTATATACCACTGTTGTATGATTGATAATTATAGCAATAGAGTATTTTAGGAGTAGATCAAGACAATTTTTGTTGTATATCATATATGTTTGCTATCATGAATAAATATAGCAATTCTGTTTCATTACTTTTTTGCTGGAATATGGTATAAACTTGACAGCAAAAATTATACCTTTTACAAAGCTGAATTCCAGTACCACAAAAAGGAGAATTCTGTGAAAATTTTACCTGTCAGGATCAAAAAGAGGTTTTAACTACTGAATTCATGATTTACTGAGCTTTTTCACTTGGAGGTTTGTGCTGCATAGGAACCTGTGGGGTCCCACAGCTCTGGCATTCAAGTGCTGTGGGTAGCAGATGGAGTTTGTACCTTCTCAGAAAATTGGTGGTTGCCATGGGTTTTATCTAGGCAAGGGAGAAGTGAAGTGACCAACTGAACTGAGAAACTCGCTCCTACTTAAATATTCATCTATCTTTCCCTGCACAGGTTGGCCCATGCTGTAAATACAGTTTGTGAAATGTGGCTGATTCCGTCATATTTGAGGAATCGGTGTTTACTGTGATAGGGGAAATAGCTAAGGAAACACACAAGATTGGACTATTCATTTTTCTGTTTTTCTTCAGGATTATTTGTTTATGAATTTATTGAAGGGTGCTAGAAAGAGAACCACACTAGGTACCCCAGCCCCAAGAATCATTTAAATTATTTGTATAAGACAACAAAGAAGTTAGCATAGAATACTTACTAATATTCCATTCACTTTCGAGTCTCTAATTGCAGTTTTGAAAACTTATGAAATAAAACTTATGAAATAAATATAGTTATAAATAAGATGGAAATGAACAGTCAAAAACAGGATATGAAGATGATTAATCAGTTCTAGTTAGGTTTAATTGGAAAGTTAATATATTTGTATATTCAATGATTCAGTAATTTCAAGGATGTGATAAAAAATAATATTTGGGCTGGAGATACAGCTCAGTGGTTCTCTGGGTTCCATCCCTAGCACCAGCAAAAAGCAACATGGGAATATATCAGCTTAGAATCAAAATTTGTTCTTTCTTTCATTTAGTAAAATTAATGTGGGGTTGGCTCGGTGGTTAAGAATGATACCAAATCCTGATACCAAAAAGAAGGGGGGGGGGAGAAGCTGGGGGTGGTGGCTCACACCTATAATCCCATTGTCTCAGAAGGCTGAGGCAGGAGGATTGCAAGTTAAAAGCCAGCTCCAGCAATTTAGCGAGGCTCTAAGCAACTTAGCAAGATCCTGTCTTAAAATATAAAATGGTCTGGGACGTAGCTCAGTAGTTAAACGCACCCCGAGATTAAATACCTAGTACCACACAAAAAAAAATTAATGTGACATAGAATATCAGAACTACTATTAGAGGTATGTGAGTATATACTGTTATTTTTATTAAATTCATAATACATTAGGAGCTAAGAGTACATACTGTTGGTAGAGTATGTACTTAGCATACAAGATGCTATAGGTTCAATCCCCAGCACCAAAATAAAATTATAATAGAGAAAAGAAGGAAAACTATTACTTATCATTTAAAATTTACTACCTATATGGCTGGGCACAGTGGTGCATGGCTGTGATTCTCAGCTAGTCTGGAAGCTGAGGCAGGAGGATCCCAAGTTGAAGGCCTTCCAGGATAACTTAGCAAGACTCTGACCCAATTAGAAGGGGCCAGGATGGAGCTCAGTGTTAGAACACTTGCCAGGCATGTGTGAGACTCTGAATTCAGACCCCAGTACCTGCTCCCCAAATGTTAATAACTAGTAGCTTATTGGGATTTCATCTTTTACTGCATTTTTTTAAGAAAACATTTCCCCTTGGTTGTTGATAGATCTTTATCTTATTTATTTATTTGTGGTGCTGAGAATCAAACCCAGTGCCTCACACATGCAGGGCAAGTGTGCTACCGCTGAGCCCCATCCCCTTTTACTCCATTTTAACTACTTATTTGTCTCCACACACTCCTCTTCTTTTATTAGACTAGCTACTTTAAAGATATGAACAAAAACCCAGTGTTTGTTTTTTTTTTAAGGCTGATTTATGTGCCATAACTTCTAAAGTATTCTTYTATACTTGGGATCTAGAATGAGACTTAACAAAGAACTGGAAGAAAGTCTGTCAAGGCCTCCAGGGCCACCCCCTACTCTATGCCCGAGTATGACATGAAATATTTGACTATTCCTCAAATAGTCTTCTCTAGTTCAGATAGGGATTTTTGAGTGACAATTTAAAAAGAATCTCAGACTATGTCCATTTTTTCTGTTCTAGCATCATATCTTAGAAAAATTGTTAAATCCTGGACTCCAGCCTATCATGCTATGTGAACTCCATCTCTGAGCATATCTGAAGGGTATCCATCTGCAGTTTATTTTTTWAAATGATTTTTAAAGCAGTGCATCCCAATTTTAGAAAATTAAGAAAATACATAGAGTTCCCAAGAAAAAATCAAATTACTAGTCAGAAATAATTTCAAACATTTTGAAGTTTATGTACATGCATAATACACATGTATGAATATATCATCCAAAGTTGTAATAGAATATAAAGGATTTTGTTCCTTGTTTTGTAACATTATGAAAGGAGTACCATCCTACATCAACAAATTTTTGAAAAATATCAGTTCCCCATAATTGGAAATTTTAGATAGGTGCTGGTTTATGCTAATTATAATTTGTGCTGTAATAAGCATCTCTGCCACATATCTTCTTATGGTCACAGTATTCAAGGGGCTAGAGGTATGTTGTACAGTCTCCTTGTGCTTTGACCAACCTTTTAGAAACATGCAAGTTCACACTTTTCAGTAGTAGTGCATTGCATATGACTATTTTGTGTACCCTCATCTGAGAATTTACTTCTTGTCCTTACTAAAACAATAAAATTTGATTATTGTTTGGGTTTGGTGGTGAGGTGAGAGGTGATTTAATAATCTTCCGTTGTTGTRAACTACTTATGCTC